AGATGGCAGTGGAAGATGAGGATGACGATTTTCTGAAAGGCGAAGCGGCACAGAGCGAAGCCGCCATCGGGCTCACGCCCAGCTCCTTCGATGCCCACTTCCGCAGCCCTTGCAGCAGCGTGGGGTCGCCCCCCTTGCTGTACGCGCCAGGCCAGTCCCCAGTGGTCTCGAGGATCTGTGACTGAGGCTCGCTGTCCTTCGAGGGAGGCTGTCCGGCTCCTGTACGCTAGAGGCAGCGCGTGCCACGGGCGTTGCAGGCCCACGAGTGTGTGGAGTGGTGTCTCTTCCTCTGGTTCTCCTCAGATGAGAGGCAAAGACTCGAGTGTCCAGCGTGTGACACGGGACAGGGGGTTCAGTGGGAAGTGCGTGTTGGTCTTTAATGTGTACGTGGCTTGTTATGTGATTAGTATTGTGGGCCCCAGGAGTTTCAGCGGGTGACTGTTTCCATGTGGGTCCTGTCGGAAGCCCCAGGCTCCGCTGGCCTGACTGACAAGGCCTTTAGGACGAGCCCTCCCTGGGAGGACTTGGGAGATCTGTTCCTTTGCTCCCCGCTGTTTTGTGTGCTGGGAAGCTCACAGTGTGAGCCGGCATGGAAGGAAGTCTGAGACTGCAGAGCCCAGAGGAGCAGCAGGGAAGGGGGAGGACTGCAGAGTGCCGGCAGTAGATGCTGTGCAGTAAGGAATGGGTTCCTGCTGACCGGAAGTGGCCTGCCAGTCAGGAGCCGCTTCCTGCCCGTTACACTGGGTTCTTTCGGCCTGGCATCAGTTGGTTATTTTGAGAATTTTCTTTGTCCAAACAGGAAAACAATCTTCTTGATTGTTTGGTGGCCAGTGTTGCTCGTTTGTCCTCAGTGTGGGTGTGACGTTCAGCTGTTGCTTATAAAGCCCAGGCTTGTTTACTTGTTTGTGTATTTGTGAAAATGGCCACTTTTATGCCTATTTATTTTTCTCTACTTGTATTTATTTAAAATGAGCAATATTTTCTTGATCCACAGATATTTTGTAATGAACCACTTGCTTTTCTCCAGGGCCTTCTATGCTTGCTCTTCTGTCATTACGTTGATTGCAATGTGGGATTTCAATTCCAGTCTGTAAATAACCTTTTTGAAAACAAGAAATTTGTATTAAAAAGTCTTTGGTAGTGGTGATGATCTTTGGTGGCTTGTGGAAAGTCACTTGAGAGCCTTAGGTTCTCTTTTTAACTGCTGACAAAAAGATAGCCTTTGTGTACAGGATAAAACACAACGCAGAGGGAGGGGATGGGTCTTCGTGACTTAAGAAGTAGTTAATAGTGTACAAGGTTAGATTTACAAATAAGTCTGTTCAACTTCAAAGGGGGTTGACTACAGTAGCTATTGTGAAAATAATGCAATATTTAATCTGAAATTTTCATTCATATGCCAATGGGGTTGTCTTAATAAAGATGTTTCACATAAATATTCTTAGGATTTCTGGGTTTGCTTTAAAAACAAATTGTAAAGCTGGTTTGGGGTGGTAACGCACTGTTTCTGCATGGGAAAACAGCTTCCAGACTCTGCTGCTGCTTTTTGTTTTTGTTTTCCAGTCATGGGGGCTGAACTCTGGGCCTGGGTGCTGTCCCTCAGCTCTTCAGCTCAAGGCGAGCGCTCTACCACTTGAGCCACAGCGCCACTTCCGGCTTTTTTTTCTGCATATGTGGTGCTGAGGAATGGAACCCAGGGCCTCATGCATGCGAGGCAAACGCTCTACCACTGAGCCACCTTCCCAGCCCCTGACTCTGCTTCTTGAGGGAAAAGCCCTGTTCGGGCTGTTCAGAATCAAAAAACACAAACTGGAGTGAATGTGGTCCACCAGTCTTAGTGTCAGCAGCTCTGAGCCAAGAGGGACAGGCCTGATCATGTCAGCACCGTGCTGGCAGGGTGGTGGCGCGCAGCTGCGATCCCAGCACTTGGACTGCTGAGGCGGGGGACGGAGGGGAGTTCAGGCCGCACTCAGTTCCCATTACATGCTTTGAAGGAATGGGGGTGGGGGGGAGGGAGGGTAACGACACCTCCTTGGAAGATGATGCGAATTTTAACAGGCAAGGGCGGGCGGGGGGCTGCACGAAGCACGGGCCAGTACTGGGCCTTGAACTCGGTCAAGGCTGGCGCTCTACCACCTGGGCCACGGGGCGCGCTGCAAGCCAGCCTTGGGAGAGTCACCTACGAGGTGCCGGCCGCTGCCAGGGCCCGGCCCCCGCAGCCCCACGCGCCACCTCGCCGCCGGGA